TCAAAACGTATGTGCGAAAGATAGAAAAAGAAATAATACTCAATAAAATGACACGTAGTCTTAAAAGGGAAACATTTTGTTACGAGTAACAATAGGTTTAGCAATTCCTTCGGCATTATCTTAGGATTTAGAGTATTATTTTAATGATTTATTTTGCGCACGCATATCCAGGGACTATTAGATGTAATAGATAGTAATAATARCTTTAAGCAATTATCTAACTTTGGTTAAAAATACGAAGGGTTTAGATGTAATGATATCGATAAAGGAATTTTGAAATTTAAGATCTAGGACTACTGAATTTATTAGATGATCCGCCAAAAAGCATGTTTTTATCATTATCGCTAWATTTTTGATGGAAACTGGAAATATTTTAAACGGTTTACTATTAAAGCATGTTTTAAAGCCCCAAGTATAAGGTGCAAAAGAGCAGCTTTCATCGTCATCGACCTCAATAAGATGCAAATTTAATGAGATCATTAGTTTTAAAAGATGAAACCAGAGATATGGCTGATCGGTTAGTGGAAGTYTCTCTTGGTGTTGTAGGTGATTTAATTTATCATCAAAAAGGCTTCTTCGTGCTRTGCTTAGTCCAGACGATGTACCCTTTCCTTTGCCGCTCAGCCCAAAAACAAAAGCGGAGCGTCAGAGGAGAGGGTACAGCGTCTGGACTATGCTATACTAGGCTGTAGATGGTGTTTTGGAACATCTCACCATTTCATTTGGTTGGTTTAGTACTAGTTAACTTTGGGTAGTGTTAAGCTGTGTTACTTTTCATTTTAGACCACGTGTCAGTCTCTTGAACACGWTTCTTTCGTCCATATTAATATTCATGTATCTTCGAAGACTCATGTGTTACTAGAAAATGACGCTTGGTATGAAATGAGGAAGAACTCAACAGTAAAGGACTCAACGAACCCAACCAAACCAACATGTTTTGAATTAAGTAACTAATCTATATAAATTTGCATGTGCAAATATTATTGTATTTGCCACGAGGTACGCGCTTGTTTTTGGGCGAGGATTTAGTAATATCAAAGGCGAGGATCGATAAATAATAGATTATTTTCAAAACTTGTGCGAAGTATTTATCAGAAATTTTGAAAGTTGATGCAAATCCAAGCACGACTATATGTCCACTTAAATGTATTCAGTATAATAACAAAGACAATTCTTTCTTAAGAGGGCGTATAATTATTTAAATTATTATGCAGCCTTGGGAGGTCTTTGTGTCCTATTAGATGCCGCATAGACTTTACCAATTATATTCGCCTCCCTCGTAAAAAAAAAAAAACTCCCGAGGAAGAAAAGAGAGGTCTACTTGGGGTAAGCCTTGTCTAGATTCTTGATTTTTTCCTTCTTTGTCATCACTCTTGATTGTAAGCTGCACGGGTGCTAATAGCGCCTTAATATGCAGCCCGTAAAGTCCTCCACTGCATTGTAAAGCGCATTGAGACATTGTGAAATGCGCTATAGAAGAACCCCATTATTATTTGTCGCTTTGAAGCTTACTTTAAAATCATAAATAGACCTTATTTATAATTTTTCGTTGTGGTCAAGGAATGTTTCCCATTTCAGAGCTTGTGTCATTCTCTTGAGAATAAGATTCTTCGTTTGAGCTGTAGTATCCAAATTCTTGGGTCTTCTCGTGTGCAACCGTTAAACAAATAAAGGATATTCTAGGGATGGAAAGACACGTGATTTGAAACAGGAAAACATTGCACCACAGCGAAATATTATCAGCATATCTTTTGACTAAAGAGTAAARTTGTATTTCTTACCGTTTGCGCCAAATTTGCATTCTTCACTATTGACCCAACAAGGGCTGAAAACCAATGCCAAACCAAGAAGAATGGCAAACATCATAGTGTCAATGTACTCAAAACCTGAAAGACATTTATCGAACCAAGAACGATAATAGATTCCAGTACTATTTCGATCATTTTTGAAACGAAAAGGTTATCATTTTTATGCCCGGCACGTCCATATGTATCTAGCCTGCGTGCAGACCGAATTTAACGTTTCGTCCTAACAGGCCTATTTCAGTACAAAAATTTTGCGACTTTAAGTGCAATTCCAGCTTCTGCACACCGATGCCCGGCAACGAAGTTAAAAGAGCTGATGCGAGAACGTACAAAACTAAGAGTCTTCTTCGACAAAACACTACCTAAACAGCGCGTTATTAGAAACTACTAAATAAATTTATAAAACAAACTTCAAGACAAATGAAGAAAAGGAAGAAAGGAAGGAAGAAAGAAAGAATAATGAAAGAATAAAAGAAAAATATACGAAAAATTCAACAACATTCCCATCWTCATTGCACACGCACCAGGATATCAGGGTCTTTAAGGTGCTAATCTAGGATACTAGCAATTGAAATATGACTGAAAACGAAACAAAACGCCTTCGAGGAATTCTTACGTGTGTGCTCTGCTAGCAGGGAAAATGATAACAAGAGGGATAACGAGAACAAGAAGAAGAAGGTGAACAACGAGAAGAAGTACATAAAGAAGAAGACTAAGAAGATAAGGAAAGAAGGAGAAGAAACAAAAAGAACACTGAAGGACAAGAGTAAGACGAATGAAGAAGAAGAAGAAGAAAAAAAGAAAAAACAAAACAAAACAAAACAAAACAAAAAGAGAAAACAAAAAAGAAAAAGAAGTCTTTTGAAACCTGAGTATAATAGATTTAGCTTCGTACTTATCAACGGTCATCTGACTTCTATCGCATTCGAATATCCGCTTTTTAATAGAAACAACAGTATATGATTTCTGATTTTTTAACTTAACAATTCGGCACTCGGTTTCAAAATCTTGCTCTAAAAGTGAAAATTCTTACCTTTTGGTGATCTTGATAAGCTGATAGTCTTCACTTCAACTAAAAAAGCTCGWCTAAACACTGAGCTAAAGGGTTCGCCTTATGAGTCCTGTGTCGACCAATCAAAAGAGGTTTTCATTTGACACATGAATGGCTTTCCTGCTGATCCAATCAAATTAAACGAAGGACGTATGCATTCTTTCCAATAAAGTTGCGAAAAAAAGCGAAAACAGCAATTGAGAATTATTTACACATTTGATTTGATAACTAAAAGAAAATTATACAATATATACATAATATATTATAAACTATATATTTTCACCCCTTCAAAGTGTTATCTGAGTGAATTAAAAGAAAATAAAGCAAAAAAAAAAAAAAAAATTTAGAAAAAATGACCAACGTGTTAGGGATAAAAAAGAAAAAATATAATAAAAACTAGTTACATAACGACATGAAA